AGAGCTGGAAATGCAATCACTGCAACCAAATCCAAATGTAATTGTCAAAGGTAAGATGCAAATTCCAGATTCAGAGCAGTTGGTACATAAGATTGTAATAAATATTTCCCATTAACATACTAATTTATATTTGTTTGTTAGGCAGAACTTGATGCCGGCGATGAATTTAGAAAAAAAAAGGTAAGACAAAGTAAGTTAAAATGAAAAGATTCTCATCTTCTCCAGCAGATTAAGTTGTACATTATTTTGGTTTCTAGTCTAGCGTTAAAATTAGAAAGACTATGAGCTCGAAGGATGAATTTCAAAATAGAAAGTTTCTCATTATAAGATAGCAAATACTTTAGGCCTGTGATCATCTTCAATGCATATTTATTTTCAATAATTCCGATAAGTAAAGAAATCTTTTTGTATTAAAAAATACTACTACTAGTACTAAACAATATACCCATGGGAAAGCAGATCAGACAAAAGAGAGAATTTTATTCAGGCAAATGCATTTTGAACCTATCGCTTTCAAATATAGATCATTGATTAAGTAAACAAAGAGACGAGGAATGAGTTAAAGCATGGTTTCCACACGAAACACGCATCAATAAGCAGAACATGATATTAACGCATTTCTCAATTCTGATTGTAATAAATCCGGCACCGAGCAAACACAGTCATATTCATTTTCACAAAATATATTTGCTGACTTAAATATACAGATCTTTCATTTTTAGTGCAAACACTGAAGAAAGTCGGACAAGAAATTCAAGGTGAACGTGAGCCCAAATAAATATCAATACTACGTGACAAAAGCAGAAAAGCCCATACATGGATGCTCAATGGATTCTGAGGCTTATAATAAATAAAAAGGAAAGATACATTTATTGGGTTGCATACTGTCTGTTTTTTTTTTCAATTCCAATTTGTTCAAGGTTTACAATGAGGTTTTCGTTATTTTCTTAGTTGAAAATAGTTATAAAGGAATGTAAAATGGCAGGTCAATGCTGGGCGATTACGAGTCTTCAGGTTCTTTTGTCTTTAGCTTGCTCCCACAAATTGTCTGTGCTGTGGAAATCAAGCTCACTGTTCGGTATCCCTGACCTGAAACAAGGTCTTTGTTGTTGCTGGTTGTAGCACATGGACAACTGGGAGCCAGACGCATCGACATCACCATGAAAACACATTTAACATTAGAGACAGAGAGCGTTTTGTTTCAGTGTGTGTTCATGTGAGCGTGTGTGCATGAGTCCTCAAGACAGACCCCACAGAAGAAGACGACACAGTTTCTAAACAAGTGTGCTTCCTCCTCAACTTCAAGGTGTTCTACTCCATCTTGTGTCGGTAGATATCCTTCAAGGCTCGGAGCTCCTCAATGAGAGTCTTGTTTTGATTTTCAAGCACGGCCACGCGGTTTTCAAGGCATTTGACGTATTCCTTCTTCTTTCGTCGACACTCACGAGCAGCTTCCCTGGAAACGATAACAGTGGTCATGAGGAAAAACATTCACATCATGATCAGGCCATAACAGGAGGAAAAACAATTCAGACGTTAGGACTTAAGAGACACGAAAACAAAGTATGTCAACATGTAGTCTGTAATACAAACACAAGTCTGCAAATAGTTCATCATGTCACCTAACTCTCTCTTTCCTCTAAACCCTGATCGGATAATCACCAGGCAACTCATGACCTAGCAACTCAAGTCTCTAAAAAGGGTTGAATATGCAGCTAAGTGATGACAGGCCTGTAGTACGATTACTGTCATCAAACTGTTGGTGGTGTCTTGTGCTAGTGTGTTTTTATGTCATTAAAATGTGAGCAGATCAGAGGGACATTCAGTCTTTTCTACCAGAACAGGTACAGTAGGTGGGAAAATGGAAAAGAGCCGTTTATCACGATCAACCTTGATACGGATGTGGAATAACAGGAGAGTTGACTCATCCGCTGAATGTCAAGGCTCGTTCGTTCATCGTGTGTAAACACTCGCTCCCTCTACCTGTTCTTCATCAGGCGAAGCTCTCTCTTCTGTACAGTATCCTCTGTGGGCTTCTTGGAGCTGTGAGCGTTGGCAGCGGCCACTCCCTGTGGGAGGCTGGAGCTGGGCTTATGCAGCTGGCAGGCAGTGAAGTCACCTGCAGGACCTGCGGAGACACACGGTACGTCGGTAAATAATTAAACACAGCACCTTGGGCTGTCATCTGAACCATATATACATATAACTATATATATATAACGTTCAATTTTGATGTTTGAAAATGTGTTTAAAAAGTTAAGTATCACTTGACAGAGGTCGCAAGGATAGCTTAACTACACATTTACACAAGTTCAAGTTTTGATGTTTTTCTAAATTACAGTCATTTTGAGAGAAAAATTGTGAAACAATACAATGTTAAAGACAGCATAGTAATTAATGTTTAAACCTGCTTGTCTTCACATTCACTTGAGCACTTTCTGCACACACGGTGTGTTTTCTCGATGGACCTTCCCCAGTCTTAATTCTCCGACATGTGTGACGTCCATCTGTTTTGCCTAATTTGTTTGTTTGCTTCTTTTTTGTTTTCTTTAATAGCTTTAGCTTCAGAATGACATCCACATTCTAGAGGTGCAGTTTTTCGGGCTCACAATGAACAAATGTTGAAAAGAATAAGGTCTCATTTGTGCTTCGGTTGCAAATGTTCATACATTACTTCACCACGTGACGTCATCGTTATGACTTCACAGCGATGCTGACGTGTTGTTATTGTAGTGTATGGCCAGAAATGATTATCTTTGTGACTACTCAGTGACATCATGGTGTGTTGCTGTTTTACAGGCTTGATCCACAGAGTCATCAGTGACTGATCCAGGGATTCAGAAGAGGGGGAGATGGGGAGGGGGAACACTAAGAGTGACCAGTTAACACAATAGCACGTTTTTAAACTAGAGAGGGAAACTGAAGAACCCAGAGAAACCCACATACACACATGCCGGGAGAACAAGTCATCCAGAAATACTGGAGATGAAACCAGCAACCTTGCCACAAGGCAAGAGCACTCACCACTCCTCTGTGTGATGACAGTAAATAATTTCAACCACATTTTTTTTTGACAAATCTGCTCCAGAAGTTTGGCAAAACACAAAAGTATCCTCAAAACATAAAAGAGACACTGTCTTTCTGTTGGTTAGCCTCTTATGTTGAATATGAATTAACAAAGTTAGTAATCCTAATCCTTAGTTAATTAAAAAAAACCTCATGAAGTTTAGATAACAGATGGTAGCACTACAAAAATCTGGGACTAAAGTCAACATTTAATGTCTTTGTCTCTCTCCCCAAAACTAAACCAAACTAAAAGATGTTGCATGACAGCAAAGTGCGGAGTGGGAGACACAGTCCAATTCTCATCAGCTTCTTTTGCCAAGCGTTTGCCAAGTGTCAATAAAACTCTCTGCTCCCCCTCACACACACACACACACAAACGCAGATGATTAATTCTGTGATTCGCTGAAACACACACAAAGAAGCCTGCACATTATCGGAGTGTGTCCACAGACTGACGTCAGCGTGCGGCGTATTCACTCATTCACATTTGCATGTCGTTGCTGGGGGCCTGTTCCAGGAAAAGCAGTGACGTCAGCTACTGCCGCTATGTGCTGTGAGTGGGCAGAGCACTGGAGCATATCACAGAGGAGAGAGAGAAAGTGAGAGAGAGAAGGGGGAGGACGGGTGGTAGAGCCAGTGTTGCCTGTTGAAGTGAGCTTTCTATAGGAATTATGTTTTAAAGAAACTATGAACTGATCACTGTGTTTTTCTATGAAAACTGTCTGATTCTGTTGTTGTTATTATTGCTGCTGTTGTTGTTGTTGTTTGGATCCAAATCCTAACTTGTAGCAATCAGTATTTTAAAATTAAAACAACACTTAATTTAAAAATTTAAACCACACAGACATTTACAGCCTGTAGAAAGTATTTTATCTGAGAAAATATATATAAAAGAAATGTGCAAAAGGGAAAAAAAAGAGTCTGTAAACTGAAAAGTTAAAGAGAGGAAAGGAAACCTACCTGTTTCTGTCTCATCCCCAGTTACAGCCATTCTCTGTGTGTATGTGTGTTTACTCCAAGGTTTTCCAAGAGGCAGTGTCTCCTCCAAAGTCTCCTCTGACTGAAATGTTGCCACAGCCAACAGCCAGTCTATGTGTGCAATTTACAATTAGAGGCACTGACATCAGCATGACATCACTGGCCTCCTGATGTCAACAGTATGCTTTGCTCTCTCACAGAACTATGAGTCAGGGGCTCTGGTGTTTGCCTTTGGGGAGGGATTATCTTCAGCATGACTGCAGCCTGTCTCTGAGTATGGCTTGTTGTACATGGATATGTTTAAAATGTAAAAAAAACAACAACAACCCAAAAATGAACAAAGAACAAAAATCATTTTTTTAAATCAAAACCACTCGTTGTACTCCAGAAACATCCTCACCAGACTTATGTTTTGAATAACTCATAAAATATTATTATTTAGCTTTACTGTGTGTGTGTATATGAAACGTATTTGCATTACAAAAACAAAATGTAATTAGTAATCAGATTAATCGCTTACGCAAAACATAATGCGGTGGCGCCCCCTAGAGGGTATTCATAATTGTACTGTTTAGGTGAAAATGAAAAAGAAAGAAAGGCAGGAAGCAAGAAAGAAGGAAAGAAAGTATGAAAGAAAGAAAGTAAGAAAGAAAAATAAATTCTTCAGTAAATAATCCTACCGTTATATTTTATGAGCTAATAAATCTGACAGGATTGGATCAATAAATCAAGTGTGACATATTTACACTTCAGGGAAAAGGGAAGTCATTTACGTCATAACAGTAATAAATGTATATAATAATAATGCAAAAAGAGAATGTACAAAGGCGGGGACATTAAATCTCACCGATAAAATGTGTGCTATGTGAAGATAACCGTTATATAAAGGCTGTGACGTCTGTGAGAACCCGTTTTACGTTTCAGCATCCCAGAGGACGAACGTCAAACATTGTGGGTTAACAAAAAAGAAAAAGAAGGGTACAAGCATAATAAAATGTTGTTGTTTTTTGGGTTTTGTTGTTGTTGTTGTTGTTGTTTAGTTTTGTGTTTGTTTGTTTTTTATTTTTACCCTGAACACAATAATTTCATGTAATGATGAGGTCACTGCTTATGTTTTAGGGAACAATTTCTATTAATTTGAAGATTAAACCACAAACAGGGGTCAAATGTAACCTGGAAACAAAGGCAAATGAGAGCCAAACGCCATGTTAATATTTAGTGGAGTTCTTATACAAACTTTAATTAAACCTTTTCATGTGACATTAAAAGGCAACTGATAGTTGGGGCAGTGACATTTGCGTCATTTGGTCATAGACAATATATAATAAAATATACAAATGCATTTGAAATAACCTACAAATATAAATATAATTTATTTATGGGGCAACTAAAGCCCCGTACCTCCTAAAACTGCCACTTATATAAGAATAACCGTCATTTCAAGTCAATAAATAGTTCACTTTTTTAAAAAATCATAAAAACACATAATGACCTTAGAGAATTATCATATTGCTATTATTATACTATTAATATATTATTAAAGTCAAACTTATGCGCACTTCCTTAGAGGTTTCCGTAGTTTTGGACGATACCATTTTTACGTTAGCGCTGTCATTTCTTAATCCCTAAAGTGTTTATGACGGCACTATTTCTAAATATCACATAAATGTTTACGGTAAGAAAAATCCGGCGCATTTTTAATGTGAAATGAAAAGGCCTCAATGAAAAATCAGCGTGTTTGTGATACCCCCCTTGTCATTCTTTGGTATAATCCTGGAGGCAGGGGAGAGCTGTGAGTGAGACAAATCAACCCTGTGACAGCGGAAAAACTAGAGTTTTATAAGAAGCAAATACTGTACAGAGGTACGTATGATTCTACCATATACACCGAACCTTAGTGGCCTGTTTTGTTCGACCAAGGTGTCGTCTTTTGCCGAGCTGTCAGTGCAAATGTGAGCTTAATAAAAATAAGAGGAGCATTTGCTAACGATAGCTGAGCCATCCTCAGCTCTGCGCTAGCTGCTAGCTGTTAGCAGTTGCATTATAAACCGCTGGAACTAGAGCAGGAAGAAGTAGCACTAGGTAGCCCGAAGCTAGTTAGCCTGCGAGCGAGCCATCCTATTTTGGGACTGGCATCCCGTAAAGCTAGTATCCTTAACTTAGCTGTCGTACCGTGGCTGATGGAAGACTGTGGTTTGTAAAAGCGTGACATTGACAGCGGGATATTGTGACGTGCGGCAGTTGGCCAGGAAAAGTGAAAATGAAAATGTTGCTGTGTTTTCTTTGACGTGAATTCAACTGGTATGAATAACAAGAAATAACGCAGGGCCTCGTTTCTCTCTCCTGTAGGTGATCAGTGATTACCTTGACATCAGTTCAGAAGATGTTGTACTATAGTGTTGCGTTTATTTAACTGTATATCAACTATCTTTAAAACGTTTAGTCAGCTCCACACACTCAGTACTGAGTAATCGTGATGTTATCCATGAACTTGACTACAGTTCTGTCTTCCCCTACCAATGTAGCTTATCCAGAACTTGATTTTTAAAAGTGGTGTTTCTGCTTGGTATCCATATTAAATTAATAATAAGGCCATATTATGGATACCATGCTGTTTTTTAAATGTCTTTTATACTTAGTATGCTAACTATTTAAAAATGTATTTTTCAATGTTTTGCCCAAAGACAGCAGCGTCACTAAAAAGCACTATTTTCACTGAGTGGTTTAATTAAAATCTCAAATATAATTTACACTGCACACTCCTATTTAACACATGAACTATTAACAGATATTACCTAGAATTAAATACAAAATAAATAAATAGACACATTAAGTATAAGTCGTGATTCAGCTAAAACATGTTGATATTGTGGTTATTGTTACATTTTAAATCTGTTTAAAATTATTGTGGTAATCTTGTTTGCCTCTTGTCCCCCAGTTCAGTGCCATTTTTACTCGGAACTTTCACAGAACTAGTGTGATTGTTGTTGATCAAACTTGTAATCGCTTGTTTCCTTTTCTCACCAGACTGAAAGGGAAACTGTACGATGTCCTTAAAGCCACGGGTGGTGGATTTTGACGAGACATGGAACAAGCTATTGACGACAATCAAGGCTGTGGTGATGCTCGACTACGTGGAGCGAGCCACGTGGAATGACAGGTTCTCGTATCCTATCCCAGCGTCCTCCGTGTTGAAAGATAATGGCAACGCTTGAAAAGTTTCAGTTTATGACGTTAAAGCTTTTCATTTCACCTTGTTGTTTAATATTGAGTTGTCACCTGCCAAATTTTGTGATGATATGATGAATATTTCTTTTACATAAAAGCATTTTTGGAGAGGATCGTTTTTATAATATACCACAGGGATGCTGCATTATTTTAGACTGTGTGTGCTTCCTTGTACATTCTAGATTCCCTTATTACTTTGCCTTAACCTTGACCACAGGGACATCTATGCCTTGTGTGTTGCTTATCCAGAGCCTTTGGGTGAGAGACTTTACACAGAAACTAAGGTGTTCCTCGAGAATCATGTACGGCAGTTGTATAAGGTACGTGCTAAGAAAAGCTACCGAGTTTTAATTAATTTATGTATATTCTTATGTCATGCTGATTTTCCCTAATTCAATGTTGTTGTTTTTGTTGTTTGTATATAATTTAGAAAGTCCTGGAATCCGAGGAAAAGGTTTTAGTGATGTACAACAGATACTGGGATGAGTACAGTAAAGGAGCTGATTACATGGACTGCTTGTACAGGTAATAACCATTCTGTTTATAACATGTCATGTCAAATTATAATTAATATGTGTTTGTTTTTTTAATTCTGCCTTATTTAAAAAAAACTTTAGACAGTGTAAAATAGAGCAGTTCACTCAGATATCAGTTTTGATCTGACATATTTATACCAGCTCATAAAAACATCACATTTGTGCAGAATTTGTTTCCATTCTAGCCTCCAGCGCTTGTGAACTCAAATTGCCTTTAAGTCTAAATGGAAAGTGTATGGTTTGTCCTGATTTATTTTAAATCAATACGTGGCACAAAAATAGACCTTAAGGCTCTTCATCCTTTAGGTCTATTTTTGTGCCGACCTTAACCAGATTTTTTTTTTTTTTTTTTTTTTGCAGGGTTTGTCATTTGTTTATATTTTGCTAGAAGACAGTTCCTGTTTGTACTTCTGCACATCTTCACAAACCTCTGTGTAACTGCATCAAGTATTACACATGTACTTTACAGCGAAAGGCTGTGGCACAGCAGTGTGGACTGTGATAGAATATAGTTGTATGTGTAAAAGTATAGATTAGTAATAATTTACTTCCTGGTTGAAGAGAAATTATCTTGACTCATGAGGTTCACAACTTAGTGAGTAGCAAGCATCAGGTCTTTATGGCAATCGAATTGGCTGACATTGTCACTTGGTATGTTAAAGTCCATACTGTGTGTAAAAAAGAAAAAGAAAAAAAAGTGAGGCCCTAGATGTAGGCTGGAGGTAGCTCTCGTGGTTTTTGGTGAGTTGATCAAACATGGTGGTGTGGTTGTCAGAGAACGGTTCTGCAGTTCAGTCTTTCTGCCCTAGTTTGCCACTGCTCTCATCCAGTGCTTTGTCTTTGTTTTGCATAATCTCGAGGCTTTGCAACAGAACAACGTTTTCTTTTTTAGTGTCTATGAAAAAAACCCAATTTTTGTTTTTTATCCGAGTCTAAAACAGTGTATCAGTGACATAATTTTAAACGATTTATTATTTTGCCCTCTTCTGACACTGTAGTGGTGTAGCGTGGTCATGTCCTCCACAGTGGGTCCCAAAATCCATGGGTGTGAAGGTGTAAATGGTCGTAGGGTGTACCCTCCTCTCACCCAGTGACTCCTGGAATTGACTCCATCTCTCCTTGTGATCCTCAATAGGATCTAACAAAGAATAATAAATAATTGGTACTGTGTCCTTGTTGCAACAAAGCACTGGCCATCAAGACTTCTCCCTGTCAGCAGTTCTGCACCTGCCAAATTTTTTCAGCTGCTTTGTCAGAACCTTGTGCTTTAAAGTGTAACCTACAGACACCACGTAAAAGCAGTGAAAGTTAAGTGCATCGTAAATATCGCCACATTAATTAGCACTGACAAACAAACAAAATAATGTTTTAATTGACTTAAAAACACTTAAAGCACCAGATGATTCCAATTCAAATCCAGTACAACGCTCGTGTCTTTAACCTTTATTCGTTTTGTTCAGGTATCTCAACACTCAGTTCATTAAGAAGAACAAACTCACAGAAGCAGACCTACAGTACGGCTACGGGGGAGTTGACATGAATGAGCCACTCATGGAGATCGGAGAGGTACTGACCAATTTAATTACTGCTGGTATAAACTACTTCCAGCAGCTTCCAGCAGGGCTGTTAGATTCATTTTTGTGTGGTTTCTGTTTGGCGGTTGGCGCTTGACGTGTGGAGGAAGTTGATTAGCGAGCCGCTGCAGGCTGTCCTTATCCGGATGTTGCTCTTGGAAATCAAAAAGTATGTTTCTCGCACAAGATGAGCCATAAAAATTATTTTCTCTTAATATTGTATGAATGTGGTGTTCCTATATCTAACTATTTAGTAATTATTTACTTAGTTATTTTGGTCTCTCAAGTGATTGACATAGAATGTTTGGGCAAAGTGTTATACTGTACGTAAATAAAATGTACGAAAATAAACCTAAAACTTTAAAGAAAATTTGTCACATTTGATTTCTGCCGCCATCTAGTGGCATCAACTTGTGGGGCGGATAATCAATGTGATCAATATTACTTCAGTTTTCATGTAAACTGCGGTGTTAAACCTTTACTTGGACTTAATCGAATGCAGAAATAACACAGGTTTTGTGTACCAGGTTTTTTGCACAGGACTAATTCTTCTTTCTTCACACAGTGACCGCTGTGGCGAGAACCTAAACCAGAAGGTAATCCACGGGGTCATTAACTCCTTTGTTCATGTTGAACAATACAAGAAAAAGTTTCCACTAAAGGTGAGACGGGTCATTTGCTGTCATAACAATAAATATATCACATTCTTAGCATCTGATACAAGAATTCTAAGTATTGCAATGCCACAAGTGAAGTAAAAGTTATCAGTAAATCTTTCCACGGAAAAAACCCTCATGTGTACACCTTACCCCTCCCTGTGTCTTGTAGTTTTACCAGGAAATCTTTGAAGGGCCGTTTCTGACTAAAACAGGGGAGTACTACAAACAGGAAGCATCCAATCTACTGCAGGAATCCAACTGCTCGCAGTATATGCAGAAGGTAGGATAACTGATGTCAATTGATTTTGTTTTCTTGTTTTTTAATGAGTAAGTTGTGATGCTTATAGTTGACGTCTAGGTAGACAGGGAACTGATGTCAATTGATTTTGTTTTCTTATTTTTTAATGAGTAAGTTGTGATGCTGTGTGAATACATGGGTTTGCAACAGGTTAAAAACAATATAAAAACAAGTTGACCCACAGGTGATACCAATATAGGCATGACCTCAGTAAAGCTCTGTAATTGTTTAGTTATAGACAGCTTTGCGGCCCATTGAATAGGGTATCAGTTTATTCTGTTTCTCTATCTTTTTGTTTCCCTCGTTAGCAAATAGCAATAATGGTACTTCCTATAATGTATTCATCTTTTTTATCTTAATCATATTTACTTCAGAGTCATCATTACAACACACGTAGGTATCAGAGCAATGTTTGCGACTGTGTTTACTGTGTTGCCAAATAATTGTGCGGATTTGCTTGGAGACAAAACGTTGGGTTGGAAATGTGTACCGAAAGTAGCTAGGAACCATTTCAGATGTTGATACTGCCAATAAAATTACATTCCAGGTTTTAGCACGGTTGCAAGAAGAAGGAATGCGATGTCGAAAGTACCTGCACCCCAGCTCCTACGCCAAAGTCATCCATGAATGCCAGCAGAGGATGGTGGCAGATCACTTGCAGTTCCTTCACGGGGAGTGTCAGAACATCATTCGACAGGAGAGGAGAGAGGGTAGGCCTCACATTGTCTTTAATGTCTCCATATTTTTGTATATGACAAATGTAGTATATGGCAACGAACCCCATTTCTTGCTATCTTGTTTTTGTCTAGACATGGCTATCATGTACACCCTGCTGCGGGCTGTGTCCAATGGGCTGCCTCATATGATCCAGGAGCTGCAGGTTCACATTCACAACGAGGGCATCAGAGGCACCAGTAACCTCTCCTTGGAAAATGTACGTTACGTCCCTGCATGCATGTCTGTACTTGTGTATTTGGATCTAAGAAATATGTTTATACCTTATACTTGAGGCAGTGTTTCCCAAACGTCCATGGTTTATGATTATGAACAGTATCGCAATCAGCGATTGAAGAAAGACAAGAATATCCTATCTTTGGCTGTATTGTTTTAGTGTTATAGCCATCTACTACCACCTAGTGGAAGAATGTTTAATTGTTCTGCCAAGACATTTTTTTAGCATTAAATAATTTCAGACCAATTAATTAAAGTTGTATCATTTTCCACTGCACACCTGCTAATCTATCACTGATGTGGTTGGAATCACTGGTCTGTAAACACTGTGTCTCTTTTCTCTCTTCCAGATGCCAACCCTTTTTGTGGAGTCGGTGTTGGAGGTCCACAGTAAATTTGTTCAGCTCATTAACACAGTTTTGAACAGAGATCAGCACTTCATGAGTGCACTGGATAAGGTATACAAAGTCACACTCTTAACAGCTGCTTCCTTGTTTTATCACACTCTGTGTTCAACACTAAATGTCAAAATTGATGTTTCTTGTTGAGTTCCCTTTTCAACAAAATAAGAACTATTTAATTACTCAACTACAGTTATGAAAGTTACATTTCAGATTTACTTGTTGTAGAAGTGTTCTTTTTTTCCCCCTTCTTTGAAATGGCCACATGTGTTTATTTGTTCTTTCCTCTTTGAGGCTTTGACGTCGGTGGTGAACTTCAGGGAGCCCAAGTCCATCTGCAAAACCCCTGAACTTGTGAGTACGCACACAGATGTTTCACACATACACAAATACACACACACACACTCGTACACAGTGCTTTGACCTGGTCATGACTCCTGGTGTCTCTGTCCAGCTGGCGAGATACTGCGACAATCTGCTGAAGAAATCGGCAAAGGGAATGACGGAGAACGAGGTTGAAGACAAACTGACCAGTTTCATCACAGTGTTCAAATACATTGACGACAAGGACATCTTTCAGAAGGTGACAAGGAGAAATATGTCTCACATTAAATAAAAAGAAAAAGAGAAATTCCAACTGAAAGGGATTCTTAAGTACAAACCTGGGCTAGAAATATATAAATATAAATAACCCTGCCACGTTACTATTTCCCACAGTTTTACGCCAGAATGCTAGCGAAACGGTTAATACAAGGTCTATCATTGTCCATGGACTCAGAAGAAGCCATGATTAACAAACTAAAGGTAAATCAAGTGTCAAACAGTAAACAGTCACATCAATCACACCTGTGGATTTGATCCTAACCCTGTTCCCTGAACCTGCAGCAAGCATGTGGCTACGAGTTCACAAGCAAACTCCACAGAATGTACACAGACATGAGTGTGAGCGCCGACCTCAACAACAAGTTCAACAATTTCATCAAGACACAGGAGACGGTGGTCGACCTCGGCATCAGTTTCCAGATTTATGTATTACAGGTGAGTAGAATGGCTTCAGTGCATCAGTAGACTGCAATTATCAGTGCTGAAAAACACAGGAAAAAATACCCGACACGTACACAAAACCATGGAACTGTTGATTGATATAAAAAATGGCATTGGATTGGTTGGATTAAAATCTGCTGTTTGCAGCAATAGCTTTTTTATTTAGCATCAACAATACAGTAAATAGTTGTAAATATAGACACATTGGGTTGGTTTTATTACTTTATGTATTGTTATATTTATATTTATTATTATTATACTTAAAAAAGTAATGAAGTAGTAATAATCTTACAACCTTTACAGTTTATTTGTTACTTGGTGGTTTTTAATCTTATTTGTTTAATGTTGTACGTTTACTTTGTTTGCAGGCTGGAGCGTGGCCTCTCACACACGCCCCCTCCTCTCCGTTTGCCATCCCACAAGAACTAGAGAAGAGCGTACAGATGGTGAGGGGGGTTCTAGTGTCAGTCACAGATGTTTAGATGCTGTGGATCTCAGTGTTACCCTGACTCTTATACATTCTTTGTACCTCCCTTTACAGTTCGAGTTGTTCTATAATCAGCACTTCAGCGGCAGGAAGTTGACCTGGCTGCACTATCTCTGCACAGGTGACGGAGTAAAACACACGTGGTCGAGTTGAGTAAAAACTCCCTTTATAGATTTAGACAAATGTCACGGCTCTGTTTTTTGTATCGACTGCAGGTGAGGTGAAAATGAACTACCTCTCCAAGCCATATGTTGCCATGGTGACCACCTACCAAATGGCCGTGCTGTTGGCCTTCAACAACAGCCAAATAGTGAGCTACAAGGAGCTGCAGGACAGCACGCAGATGAACGAGAAGGAGCTACAGAAGACCATCAAGTCTCTGTTGGACGTCAAGATGCTCAATCACGAGTTGCAAAAGGTCTGACTTCTGACATAACAAACATGACATCGTCTTTCTTCCGAACTTAAAGTACTTATTTACTTACTTGTACTTAACTCGATTAACAAGTTCATAAAATTGTTGTCAGGTCAACTGAAAATAGTCAGTTAATTTTAGCTTCGTGTGTTTCTGCTTACAGGAGGAGATTGAAGCAGAGTCCACGTTTTCACTAAATATGGGTTTCACCAGTAAAAGGACAAAGTTCAAGATCACTACATCAATGCAGAAAGACACACCACAGGTGAGAACAGCAGCTGCCCATATTTCTATTTCTTTTCTTTATTTTCTTCCTTTCCTGCTCTCCTTCCGTCCTTGTTTCCTTCATTTTCTTCCTTCGTTCCTTCCTACCTTTCTTTTTTCTTTTTTTTTTCCCTTCCTTCTTCCTATCTCTTTTTCTTATCTCTCGCCTTTGTTGACATTTCTCACCCACCTGTTCTTCACGCAGGAAATGGAGCAGACGAGGAGCGCCGTAGACGAGGACCGAAAAATGTATTTACAAGCTGCTATCGTGAGAATCATGAAAGCTCGCAAAGTGCTCCGACACAACGCACTCATCCAGGAGGTGAGTTATATGGTTTTTTGGAATCCTTTTACAGATTTTTTCTGGGGTTGATGAAAGCTGGAACGGAGAATAGCGTGTTCTGAAAGCACATGTCGTTGAATAGTGTTGTGAACTTTGGTAATACAAGGAGAGATCAAGTCTGTAATGAGAGGGCTCAAGGGAGTCTGAGCAGTAAAAAAAAACAAATCAGTTTGTTCTACAAAAATAATAATGGACCACTTTAAATAGAGAGATCAAGTAACAGGCCATCAGATCGGCGCAGTACAAGCTGTAAACTGATCCAAATGAGTGGTGAACAGTGGTGGACTCGGGTAACACTGAGGTGACAGGGGATTAAGTGGAACTGTGTTCAGCAAAGAACACGTTGACTCATGTTTGCAGTGGAAGTTACAAATGCACCAACAAACCAAAGCTGCAGATTATCATCTATGACAAAAGCAGTGTTCTGCAGCATACAGTTTCACTATGATGGCTTTTATTTATAGAATAGAGTTGTTGCAGTTTAATAGAGGGTTTGGTCAAGTGTGGCTGTATGAGGGAAAAAATGCATAAACCCATAATTCCACCATCCATCCACTTCACATTGCTCTACTGCACAGTTAATAAACACTTTGTTATTTACACACGCTGTGGGAAAAGATTTGTGTTCCACACAGTCCTTTGGGGGGAAAAATACCATTTCAACACCCAGTAAGGGTGTTTGTAGAGGAATCAAGGTCAGGTGAGACGTCCGGATCAGGAGCACAGGGCAGTTAATAAGTCTATGGATTTAGGACTGGATTAATATTATTTAGGACGGCCCCCAACAATTTCATCAAAGATTAAAATCCAATTGAGATGGTCAAAATGTACAGTAATGACTTAAGATTTAACTTAAGGCAGGAAACTATTTTACTTCTTTTTTTTGTGACCATTTCTATACTAATAATTGTCATTTGGATAAGTCACAAATATAAACATGTGTGAAACATGCATCTGCCTGATGATGTTTGTCTCTCTGTTTCAATCATGTACAGAAAAATATTTTAAGTTTTTTTTTTTTTATCTCAGTTAATAATGATTAATTACAATTATGATTAATTGAGATTAATTCACAAATATCCTATGATTTATCAGTTCAAAATATGATTTGATTTTCCAATCAGTTTCCTCACAATTCCCCTGCGCTTTATTGGGCAAAAGACCACGATCGTGCACAAGAAGGTGCTTGTGTCCCTTTAGCACCGTTTGCAGTCTCAGTTTGGTTGCTGCCCGCTTCACCTCCTGAATAGTTCCTGTTCTAAAATGAGCGTATTAGCATGTCAGACATAACAGAGCTGCATTGTTTCCCTCTCTTCTCTGTGTGCAGGTGATCAATCAGTCCAAAGCCAGATTTAACCCTAGCATCAGCATGATCAAGAAGTGCATCGAGGTTCTAATCGACAAGCAGTACATCGAGAGGAGCCAGACGTCGGCAGACGAGTACAGCTACGTTGCATAAACGGATTTGGGTTGAGTCCTGAAAACGCCTCCACACAAACACTCATCTGTGTGACAGACCAGTAAACAGAGGTTTAAGTCATGAAACTAAAGAAAAAAAGACCCAAACAGTACAGGTTTATTTAGTCATTTAAAGTTTCGGACTCTCTGCTGCCCTCTGGGGACTAAAGCAGGACTGGTGCCTCCACCTTTTTAAAACAAGACAACATCATCAAGTCGTTTCAGCCCACCAGATGAAACCCCCACCCAGACAGTCGTTTCAGCCCACCAGATGAAACCCGATGAAAGCCCTGCCCCTCAACCCCGCTCATCTCCTGATTTTATGTTGTCGACAACAACATTATCACTACCACACCCCTGAGAGTCAAAGGTCAAACAAAGGAGCATCTAAGAGAAGGGTGGTGGTAAAACTACTACTGGGATGTGAAACAGAAAAAAAGGGGGAGGAGGAGGGAGTTAGCTTTGAGACCAGTGACAAATGGGTGACTTCCCATTTAAAAAAAACCAAAACCCAACAACCAGTTTCATTTCTCACATTTGCAGTTGTGTGTTTATTTTTTCTTTCTTTGTTAAATGTATTGAACTAGGACAAAGATAATGGTTAAAAGCCTGGTATGTCATTCATGTCATATCTACTTTCAAGACAAAACGAGACAAACGTGGTTCTGCTGCTTGTCATATAAACAAATAAAATAACTGAACGGTTTTAAGTAAACGTGATGGGTTCGTATTTGTGTCACTTCAGCAGCTGTTAGTGATTGATTACACTTGCACTGAGATATTTTAATGTTCTGTCTGCGTTCATTTGCAGATGCACACAAAATAAAACAGAAGTGACAGATTTGTGACCTAAGTCCCATAGGGAGGTGTGTGTGCCTTTGTGTTCTCTCATTTTGTTTTTTTTTTGTTTTTTTTAGATACTAATACCGTATATGCTTTGCTCCCTTTGAAGCAGGCACCTGGTGATACACAACACTGTTTAACTTAAAAATAAACATTTATTGAACATTTAAATAACTGTTGAACATCACCTTGTCTTTGTTCTTGCTTCCGTCAAGCTAAGTGCACACAGGTCAAGGTTCTGCATATTTGTGACCATGTCATGACATCACTTTTCATCAAAATTCTCTTTGGTTTGGTCATGTTTTTCATGCTGTGACCACTGTCACATCGGCAGGTACTTACAGTTGAACAAAGGAAATGTTAAGGTAGTAGTGCTATATATTGCTATATATTGATGTACTTCAGGTCATGTCGCATTCAAGTACACATTTTAACCTGGAATATAGTTAAAATAAATTGATTTTCCTTCGATTTTTTATTTTATTTTATTCAAATAGAAAATTGTTATAGAACAGGGTGAGGAGACAACTGTCTACTTTGCCATCTCCAATTAGCTTCCCTTCAGAAAAAGGAAACACGAGTCAGTCAAATCTTGTAGACATTTAAAGCTTGAGAACACGCTTTAAATGGTTTTTATTGGTTTTTATGAAAACGTATAAAAATACTTTGTTATACATTTTTAATGTCTGATGAACAAAAATACAGTGGCACACAGAAGAATATAAACAGTGGCCAGTTTTTTTTAGTAAATCGGTTGCTTTTTAAAGTAGGTGACAGAAATCTTCTACTGCCGATCCATGGTGCTACGCCTGGTCCGGATTCGCTTCTTCTTCTTCCCGTAGTTTATCTTGCTGGACCACTCCGGGTACTGCTTCTCGTGAAGGATCTTCAACTGCTCAGCCTCCTGGATGTACTTGTCCTTCTCGGACTGCAGCAGTGAGTTCCATCTCTGGCCGAGCTCCACGTTGACCAACGCGTTGTCTGTAATTTTGAGATCAGCCACAACAGTTGGCCTTTGGTCCTTCATGAAGAGCAAGAAAGCGTTTGGCGGCTTCTTGATGTAAGGACGCCCGTCGTCGGCCTGCCTATTGCGTCTATTCTTGGGGACGTTTTCTGGCCGAGGAGTGTACACCGTAAGTACAGATCCTGGTGGGAGGTGGTACGGATTCTGAAATGGAATCCCAGCTGACATCACCAATGACAGAGACTGAAGGTTGACCTGTGTCTCTGAGTCAGCAATGGGACGTGGAGCGATAGGTTTCAGCACCGTCATCTGAATGGGGTCCACACTGCAACTCTTCTGGTTCTGTTTATGGGACCCTTCGACTGGCAAAAGCTGGATTGTTATCATGGGATTGTTTTCATCGCAAAACAACAGCTCTTCTTTGATGGGACTTTTCACCGGCTCTGCCTTGGCACCGTCCTCTTCCTCTGACACCAGTTGGGATTCATCGCTGTCATATTCATACCCTCGTTTAATTTCAAATTTTATGTTCACTGTGGAATTACCGTCGTCCACCTCTCCAAAAGCTGTTTCCATTTTGTCTAGCTCAGTTTTCTTTCTTCTTCTTTTTAGGTTTAGCTCTCCCTTTGCTTTTCTTTCATTATCTATCTTGATGTTCAGTGGCCAGCCGTCCGAAAATAAAGCTTCTGCTCACACCTAAATAGTTTTTTTTGTCCTTTTGTCCTGTTATCTTTCGGTGTTGCTCTTTTATCCTTTCATTTCATTGGATATCCTTCCTCCTAGGCTGGCTTTTATCTATCATCGCCTTTGGTTACGTCAACAACATGCAATGGCTCCTCAGGTATAAATCACTGTTATGCCCTAAGGATGTCTGGTTGAGATCATAATAAAAAAGTAAAAAAATGTTTTAATACAAAAATGCACCAAAATACAAACAGTTACTTGAAGAGATTAATAGTACACAGTAATGGCATAGGTAAACAAAACATTGTTTGTTAGCTTGCTTATATGAGCTTTTGGACAAAGTTGGCTTCAGACATTAGCAATAGATTCAACCAGTGACAAATGATGAACAGATTTGACCATTATAGCTTAAATTCAGCAGACATTAGTAGCTGCACACTTACTAATGGCTCTGTTCTGTACTCATACGAACATTTCTCATATACTATATATTTCTGTACAATTGAAATGCGGCATAATTATTTAAAAAAATGAAAATATTGCATTGTTTTATTATGCTATGTTTCAATGCATTTTTAAATTTTACTAACGGATATCATTTTCCATCACATTTTTATGTTAATTTGTTAACTGAATGCTGATGTGCAATATATCTTAACACATTTGGTTTACTATTAAAGTTACAGCTGACAAAGAAGAACAGACATTAAGTATTTCCTTACCTAGTACTTCAGCATGGAAAAGGAGAAGAAAAGAAATATTCTAAGTGCAGTTTTCAGAAGTATGCCTGACGTCCAAGACTAAGATCATAGGAGCAACTGTGGTCCAAGGGAGACATCCGTTAAAACGCAGACTTTGATCAACGTAAGAAAGATTTAAAGGCATGCAGCCAGCATGAAAATAACAAATGAATAAAATAAACGGGCGTGCCTGTTAAACGTCACATTAGAAGATGACACTGCATTTTACCGTAATAACCGGAGAGGCTGCAACCCTCGCACATATTTTAAACTTCATGACTTAAACATTGGTGCCCGAATATAACGGCGTCCAAGTCCACTTCCAGTAATGGGTCTGCTATCCTATACTATATGATCTAGTTGTCTCTGTATTACTGATTAAACGCAAGACCTCGTGGCGCAACGGTAGCGCGTCTGACTCCAGATCAGAAGGTTGCGTGTTCAAATCACGTCGGGGTCAGTTGTTTTGAATATGGCCACATGAAAACCTACTTCTGCAGTTCTCAGACATTTCCCCTGTACACCTTAAGTGATTAATTGTTAACAGCCTGCAGCAAGAACAAATAACAGCAACATTATGAGTCTGGCTGTTGTCACATCCCAAGAATAGTATAATATTTAATATCATTTAAATAGTAGTAGCAGGCAGTGTGCTTCATGGGCCGACGATACGCCATTTGTTTGTTTATTTATTACTCTGACCAGTTCATTAAACACAAAGATCGCTGGAGAATAAAACACTGTCCATTGGGTCGTTTATTAATACTGACACAAGTCTGGTCCAATCACATTCCACTTCCGCTGCCCATTTGGCTCTGTGCCAGAGAGAAGCGTGCGTGCGTGTGTTGTCAAATGCACTAACTGCTGTAGACTTTTGGATTGTTTTTTCTTTTTTAAATTATAAATTTACAAGTATATACCTGCGAGTTTGGTAGAGACGGAAACGAGAAGGAGAAGCAGGGAAACTGCGTTATAAAAAAGCAGGCTCATCAGGTAGACGAGGGAAAATGTGACAAAAACTACGAAATGTTTGCTGCGGTTGTTTTACGGGTAAGGACTGCAGCCTTAAACCGTACTGGTTTAAACGGCCACGTGAAAACGTGATGATGTAACGTGAAAAGCTCATATTGTATTATATTATGACATGCTAACATGCACGTGAAAGATGCCAATTGATCAGCTGATCGATTATATTCAAAAGTTTTTTAATTTATACATTGCTACCATTTGCCGTTACGCAGACGCGCGCACACGCACGCATGTGGCAGTTGTAATCTGAGCTATCACTTCTCATGTTTTATGTCTTTCTCTAGCATTAATTCTGCTTTAAGTGGTCACTGTGGTGGAGTATGGATTTAATTTGATATCACTAATACACGACACAACAAAGTATTTCTTATCCTTGTACTTAAGTGTGCTAAAGTTGAGGTAAAACAATATTTTATTATTTTTAATTATTAATTTTACGAAAAGTAAACACATGGCTGTTTTTATTTTAACCTTTGGTTTGTATAAAGTGGGAGGTACAGAAACAATGTATTAAGAGTGTTGGGTGATAAGTGAGGACAACAACATAGCTGCACTGCCCAGATGAATGCACGTGCCTAAGCTTGTTTCACACTGGGCTGACAATATTAGACTGAGTTTTTATACTACACTGCACATTCAATGCTGCAGGCAACTGGCGATGTTCACTAATTAGAAATTCTTCTGGTGCAGAATTTGACAAATATCTTTTGTAAACGAATGATGAAAGGAAGGGTACACTCTGCATTGTTTACTATTTCATCACAGGGCAACATACAGTGACAACCATTCACACTCGAAAAATAAACAAACTCCATACAGCACGATTGACTAGCAATTACATCAAGGCAAAACCATAATAAATATAACACTATTGAAAACAACCACAGACGAAACACAGATGTGAGAGCTATGCATTTAATATTATTTTGTTCATTAAGATTTACTAATGTTTTATAATTACATTTTCATTTTCTACGACCAGGTCTGCACAACAGTAACCCAGAGTCATTGGAACGGTATTTATTACTGATTCAGACCTCTGCACCAGTGTTGGGAGATGTGGACTGGGTCTGGACACAAAAAAGCACCAAGAAGTTGCAATAAGGTAACAATTAAGAATTGTTTTGCACCAAAGCCCTGAAAGAAAATAATTGACTTTTTTTGTGACGTTCAGCCCTCGGTAAAATACGGACACAATTAGAAATAAGAGACTGCCAGCATCGCCCATGTATTTATTAACACAATCTTAATGATTTATTCAAAAGTGATACTTATTGTTGTTGGCAGTCTGGCTGAGAGCAGTTTAGACAGGTCCCAGATCAGTATCCAACCTCTGACGCTAGAACTATTTCCAGAGGTCCAATCAGCCTGGAGATCAATCAGCTCTGGTGAATTAATAACTATTGGTATGTACTGTATTTCTTTGTCCAGTTGTGTCCTCTTTTTACGTTTTCTCTTCCTGAAACACGCGGACGTGCTCGTTCTTGTACGACAGGCGGGAGAAAGAGGGAAGCAGTCCAATATGTAACAATAAATCCTAGTCGTTGGCTCCGCCATTGCTCTCGGGCACTGTCTACACCTAATAATAAAGCAGTGTATTAAATGCTTTATGCTAAACTTACGGCTAATTCCAGGTGAACTAATCATATGTCTTATACCAACAATATGAGCTCAGCTAACAGCAGTAAAGAAAGATGGGGGATTTAAAGGGTAATAAATACTGCAGGAAATTATACAGCTATGTATGAATGTGTGTAAAGGGTTTGTGTGTGTGTGTGTGTGCGTGTGTAGTATTCTGCAGTGGTGAGGTAAGTCTGTGATGACAGAACTGCAAAGAGAATGACCTGCAATAAGCCACCGTGTTGCAGCATGTCTACCACTGAAGTAATGTTGTAAATTCAATTTATTTAATCCCTGTCATAAACAGGACCAAGAGGATAGACAGAGGAATCAATGGCGTTTGAATGGGAGTGATCACAGTGTTTGCTAGTCTGCAGAATAAAACTGTGAAAAATAGGATCCCTCTGATTGGAGCTCCTTTTCATCCACGTTAACGATCAATTAAATTTGCTCAGCAAGTGTCCTTAGAATATCTGAATTGGGCTGAACATCTAATGATCATAATAGCTCTGCATTGGCGTACATATTCCCATTTAGCATGTCATTTTAAAAGTTAAACATACAGTATAACATAGGTGTCAGCTAATATGTAAACAAACAACAACCAGCCAAAAGCCTAAGAATCATTTTTTTTGTTTGTCATTTGATACGTCGGGTGGTTATGGCAACGTTTAGCTCATAACACTGTTCATTTTAATTGTCTACCCTGACAATGACCTGACGCAAGTCCCTGTGACCAACTGTTCTCCAGTGAATCACACCGCCCAAACTTTTACAAAAGCCAGCAGTAACTGTCGGTTACAGTAAGCGTGCAAAACTGCAAGCACACACACGTTTCATTTCCCACGTCGCCTTTCCTCGGCTGCTTATTTCGCACATGCGATTGGCTAACATGAGGACAAAGATTGATGACGAGGATGAAAAGGAAAAAAAAAAATCCAGCAGACCTCTCCTAACCTTTCTCCTTTTTTGTCAATCGCTATAGCAAATATATTACCCAACAATGTCAGCTATGATTACAGTTCTGTCACTTTGACACACAATAAAGACTCATTTGTCTTCCAGTGTCAAGGCCTGATTCCCACGCATGTGCAAAAAAACAAAACAAAACGGTTTGGATATCAATCCTGCAGAAGTTTGATGTACATGATAACACGCTACTGCAAGTTATACGTTTATTTATTGATCATGTGTGCAACTCTAAAGGTCGGGGCGATGCAACCTGTGGCTGAGACCCACACGCTTTTCTTTGCAATTCCTATTGGGATTGAATAGAAATGTGTCTTGAGTTTTTTTCCCCCTGTGGTTCAACAGGTTAAACAATAATAAATTGCCATTTACTGCCAGTGTTTGAAATGTTTTGCACCTCCTCATGAAATATATTTACTTGTAAAATATTTACCCCCACTACATGTCACTTCCTGATTGAACCAATGAGCTTCTCCACCATTGTGTCTGACTGTCTGATTCAGGACTACAGTATGTCTCTCCTCCTCCTGCATGCATTCCTGGTGTGCAGCAAACACGCTTCAGTTTAAGTTATTACCTGACTCGCGGCTCATTTGTTTTCCCTGTCACAAGCGTTGACTTATTGTTTTGACCTTTTCAAGGAGTTAGCGGTTGAGCCACCTTAGCAGCAGTAGTAGAAAGCAAAGTCAATGAAAAGTACTGACAAAGGAGGTGTTACATTCCAGCCTAGAAGTCCAAGATCTAGAAACTACTAACAACTAGAAGCCTAGGTATGTTTTTGTTTATAATGAATTAAGCAGATACAAACGTGATATATTCTATGGAGCCTCTGAAAGGATATGGGAACATAAATGTTTGTGGTGCCCACCTGTTGTTAAGTAAATGTGACTATCTCTACTCCAAGAATTTACGTGGAAAATATAAAAAAAACTATGAAAATAATAATGTTATTACGTTATTGGCCACTAGGGGGCGTATTAGTTCTGTTTCTGACAAATTATTAAAGCTTAAATTCTAGTTTAAGTATTTACATAATAACACATCCGTGTTAAATTAGATGTAATCAGTAGTCAGATCAGATGCAGATGTTTTGCACAGGAACTGAACCGGAAGTGAACTGCACTAACAGAAAAGTCTCAGAAGTGCATGACACCTGATGAACCAGGTGAAACTGGTGGTGTTACAGGTCAATCCCCCCTGCCCCCCTCCCCAACTGAAACTGGAGAAACCAATCCTGAGGGATGATAATCCTGGACTCCACTTCACATCCCATGATGCTTTAGTTCATGTTCACTCATTGGGAACTACATTAGTTCATAAAGACTTACAGTAAGAGCTGCAGGGGGGGTGAGTGGAGGGGCTGCAGCTTTTATGAGTGAACTGGGTCACGGTGTTAGTACAGTGAACCTGTTGTACTGCAGTACAGTATGTGCTGAATGTGCAACACATTTTGTGAACTACTTACAATAGTGACGTGACTTTATCACACGTTAAGATGATGCTTTAACATGAAGGGATATAATAGTAATACTAATGCAATAATACAGGTCCACGCACTAAACGTCACACCGTTGCGTTTAAGGGTGCACAAAGGTCAAAGTCCTGTTATGTTTAGATGATCCCCACCGATAAGGTTACTGTATATTTACTCACAACAACTTTTAAGCCACGGTGACATCATGACCTCATCGGAGATCCTCCCACTGGTGCGTTTTTAATGAGGGCGTTCGTGACATGGAACAGCGCCACCAATCTGTCAAAATTATACAAGTGGAAAGCGGCAGAAATGTAAACAGTGTGTGTTGAATTTGTCGGCCTGAGTTGTGACCTGCTGCAGTCGACTGGAAACATTCTTGGTGCCTGCTCTGACATGTGGGCGCACTCACAGTGTCAGGCCAGCAGTGCGCTCCCCGCTCCGCCCGTGCGTGTGTATTAGCCTATGACTGTGGATGAGTGTGTGTGCGCGCGTGTGAGTAAGAGAGAGGGAGAGGGAGAGAGAGGCGGTTTGTACTGTTGGGAAGTTTCAGTAAGTGAGTCAACCCACGCCACGCAGCGCTGCTGCTGGATCTGGTGCGTGGACACCTATTGTCCTCCGAGGACGCGGCGCATTAAGACAACTTGGATCACTTTACAGCTGGGGATTTTTTAAATAATTTTTGTTTTTCTTTCGTGGACACGCTGGAAATGGTTGTTGAGGCTCCGACGCGTCTTTTTCCTCACTGGAATTAAACGCGACTGCAGCAGCGGCCGAGCGATGAAAGTGACGGTGTGTTTCGGGAAGACCCGAGTGGTCGTTCCGTGCGGAGATGGGAATATTAAAGTCCACAGCCTCATCGAGAAGGCGGCGATGCGGTACAAAAAGGCGATCGCTAAGGTGAGCACCTCCTCAGACAGCACACAAACACCAACATGCCTCTGTGGAGCTTCTCCCTGCGGAGAGCGCAGAGCTGCGCTCAACATGGCGCTCCTGCTGCGGCTCCGGCTCCAAGCAGGAGACAAGGACAGGGGCTGGAAGTCAGAGAGCCGGTCTCTGGCTCCAGTCGGGACCCCGTCTCCTACTGGGGGCCCAGGATGGAGGGAGAGTGAAGCCCCGATCCATGCTACCTGCAGCGGGAGCAAATTACGCAAGAGTGCGCTTAAAAAAAGTGTTGTGAAATGACTGTAACAACAAAGTAGCCCGTGCTGTGAGTGTCACTGCTGAGCTGCAGTTCACACGAGTGGGGACAAACTCTGTTGTGGAGGAATCTCTACTTTTTAAAATTTTTTTTATGTAAAGAACCTCACAGCAACCCATGCACCGTTAAAGGTGCTCATATTTGCAAGCTGGAAAATATTGAAAAATCTGGTTCTTAATACAGAAGTGACAAGAAAATGAATACACTTCAATTCCGGGCAGAAACGTTTAAAATCAAAATATATGTATTTACAAACATGGATCTTCACACTTCATCATCTCAGGCTTCCACTATCTCCGACCATCCTTCTGCCTGACTGTTCTGTCAGACCGTTGTCTCTGTCATTGTCAGGTGTTTTCTCATGTTCTTGTGGTGTATTTCAAAGGTCATGGTGCGAGCTGCGAGCTGGAGCTGATCCAGGAAACCAGTCCATCCCAGGGTCATGTGAACAGTTGGTTTGAACTAACAGTCAGGGCTGTGACTGAGGTTTTTGACCAGCGTTACGTCTGTAGAAAGCTTTGTTTTTGGTTTTCGCTTTTTGTGTTTGTGTGTGTTTTGTGTTTTTGATATCACAGGTACAAGGGTCGTAGCAGGACCATGGATGCTGCTGTGTGTGTTTCTTACTTTTGTCTCTCTTTCAAATTAAAGTGAGATAGACAAGTGTCAAAATGACGATAACATTTTTCTCTTATATCTGATAGAGACATTTCAGCCTTGAGAATGAGCTACAGTAGCGTCAAGCTAATATTTTTATTACCAATGATACAATACCACTTTGTTTGACTAAAATACTTAAAATAAATACAAACGTGTTATCTCTTAAATTGCCCCAACACTAATCGTATAATATTTCTTCCATTTTGAGGAAACCTGAGTCCGATCTCCTTGATGCAAAGCAATGTTATGTATTTGAAACGCATTCTTTGAAGCAAAACTTTTCAGCACTTCTGTTTGGACGTTTGACAACAGTACACTCCGCCTGTTGCACCGCCCCTAATATAAGGAAGAATCCATTACAGATAATCAGATTGTCCTGATGGAGCAGGTTGTGTCTTTACACTGAATTTAAGGTATCTGTAAAGTCGAGAAGAGAATTCCAAGTAAAAACAAACCTGTCAAAAAACATGGTGAACCCGAGGTACGACGCTTGTTTTGATTGGTCGGATACGGCCCATAGAAACTAACAGCCGTTCACAATAACGGTCTGTAAACACGTGTGGTAAATTCAGAGCTGTTCGAGGAAGAGTTTCTAAAGGAATCTTGTGAACACACTGGACAAGTCATCTGAAACATTAACATGTCAAATGGCTTTTTTTTTCATGCATGTGGCTTCACTTATCAAGTTTGTTGGGACACAGATGTGAAAAAAGATTGGGCTTACAGAAGGAGTATAAGACGAATGCCAGTGATAATGGATGTAGCTCGGACCTTTTCGCTAACCAGCTCTTGTGCAACAGACCCCTCCCCCCCCCCTTTGAGAATCAACGATCTAAATACTAGTATAAAACATTGGACTGAGCCCTTACTCAGATTTCCTTCTCCCTCTGTGGGTTTCCAGTGACTCCACCTGAAAGGCAGCCACATGAAAAATGAATGAATTTAAGTTTGAAGCCATTGTGGCTGCCAGTGACGGTACTTTCTCCACTTTCCCGGGGGCATTAACGTGACCGTGGCTGTGTTGATGCTGCGGCTTTGCTTCAAAGGAGCAGAGCAGCCTGCGGCTTTGCTTCAAAGGAGCAGAGCTTTGAAGTGTGTTGCACCTGTGCTTGTATCACAGCTCTGTCACTGTTTGGAAAAGTGTTAGCATCGGTACAGTTATCAGGGTGTGTGGAAAATCCACAAAGAGAACCAATAAAGTACCAAAATAACCTTAGTGGTCATTCCCTTACACACCTTTACATTCCAGGAGATACTCACTTCACATTGTTGCAGCTCAGTAGGCTTTTCCCCATTGTGCCGCCAGTGGCAAACTGCTTACAGTCAACATTACCGCGCATTCTTGAAAAGGACTTCCCCCCTGCGCACACACCAGCAATCACTAAGACCCACATGCCCACGCGCACGCTCCCTCCTCTCTTCACGGGAGCTAAATGCTTTTCCATGGCTCAGCAGAACGCAGGCGACTGGTCCATTGATGCATGCAGTGGTTCTGTAAATGGAGAAGCGTGGACTCTCCCTCTGGAGAGCACTTGGCCCCGGGTCAACGCTAACTGCTGTATCGCGGGGCCAGCCAAGACCTTTGGACGACAGGGAAATGTAATCACACATAAGTCACTTCAGTTTATACGCTCTGACGGCAGAGGCCTGAAGTACACAGGTTGTTTTCTTTATGGCTGCTTTAAAAATCACAAGCGTCGTAACGTTATACGAGCTGGTATACGGAAAGTTTGTTTGGCGTTGTAAATCGGAGAATTAGACCCGGGTCAGCAAAACATCGGGCAGGGTGGGTGGTTTGAAAAAACCAAAGGAGAGCAACAAAAAAAAAAAAAAAAAAAACCCTCAGTCTGCAGGGAGAGATTGTGATGCACGCACAGCTGTCAGTCCATATGGACGTAGGTGTTGGATAGCATGATAGCATGATAGCATGATAGCATGCATGTCCACAGTCTCAGGTGAGTGCAGTCAAAGTGTGTGGTTGGACTCATTTCGTGTTCTGCGTCAGGTTGTTTTGATGCCGATAGATTACAGAACAAACCAAGAGGTGTGGACAACATGCCGATAACATCCTTTTGCAGGACCAACGTCAACAGCTGTTAGAGCCCTTCACCGTGCAAAAGTGTGATTTGATGCCGTGTTAATTGTTATGTGGTTTCACATTGTATGTGCTATCACACCAACTTACACATACATGCACTTACGCAAGGCTCCTGCTGTTGAGGCCCAGAGGAACCACGTACTAGCACCTCCAGGGTGGGCTGCCTGTTGCAGCAGATCTGCTGTTATCACTACTATCACTACACACTACTGTGTGTAAAGTTCAGATTAGTATTATTCTCCTTAAGTCTTTTAGGAGCGTTCAGATGTGCACTGACCTTCAGAGATTTTCCAAAAAGATTCTAAAAGGGCTGCATGTGTGATTACAGAATCCAAGTCGGACTGAATTCATTTGTAAACGCATCACGTTGAACTTGGAAGTTGGGCTGCGGCCAGAGACGACGTCATATCTAAATATCAATATCTTCTTCTCAGACATGAACGTCCTGCTGATGAATAAATCTGGACCTCAATGTTCGGGGTTTGTGTCAGACAGAGCCTTTAACTCTATGAATTCATTTTGATCACATGATGTAGATGCTGTTTCAGCTTTTACTCGATATGTGTTTGTTGTTAATTATCAGTTATTATCAGTTATTCGAACTACAAAATGCAGAAATGTGCGAAAAATGTCAAAACAGTGGTAGATTCACAAAGTAGACAAAATATGACCATTATCACATTTATCTGCATTCCATATTTTTTTTCACTGCCTTATCTGTTTCAGGGTGACTGTGCTCATCACTCTACGTAATCTTACCTCATACTCATCACGGTTTTCGCAATGTGTGTTAGTTATTTCTGCACACGATGAAACGCGTAGTCATTCTTCTTACTGTGATTAATTCTCTCAACCAATTGCATTCAAATTATCTCTGAAGACACTCAAGGGCCTCGTCCCTGTTCCGGTAAGTGTGCATCAATCACCCATTCAAGCACCATTAAGCTCAGAAACAATCTGTTCAACACTGTGCTCGGTCACAGAGCGTTAATGCTAAATGCCATAACAGGCCTTAATCCTGTTTCTGTGGCGATTGTTGCCATTGGCCAGTCAAGTATAAAGTCATCATTTGCTTTGTTTTGAAAATGAAAGCAGAGACAGATGGAAGACATTTTCAGCCGCCTCATGGACACCGACTGGGCGGGTCTTATATGTCCCATATGTACCATCAGAGAGATTCAACAAAAGAGCTCCCAAAGATGCATCTGCTTCTTGATCCATAATTTGTGACTTAAACCCTTGAAGGGTTGCATCTCCAGATCCTTTTTTGTCTCCAGCGTTCCCACAGCTCCACCTAAATGTAGGTTTAAGTCTTAAAGGACATAATTGCTCTTTCAGTTCCTCTTGAAACTCCTCAAATGCAGGCTTGCTCGGATGTCACAGTGGGTAAAATAAACAGAAGCAGGATACTTTCGGGGCGCTAGCATACTTACATGTGATCATATCTACTTGTCTGATGTGCACATGTGCTCCGCAGGTCCCATGTCGGGTCAGAGAAATATTGATCGATCGTTCTTTTGATCGATCGTTCTTCGAACTCACAAGTTCCTCGCGGTATCACAAAAATAGGAAAGACTTTAGCAGCTGTGCAGTGATGTTGCACATGCAAATGCATGTGTTAAAGAATGTCCTATTCATGATGTGTAGGGTGAATGTGGCAAATTCACAAAACAAGTTCCCTTGATGTGTGGCTGGAGTTGAAACCACAAAGGCCTTTTTATAGAAAGAACGCGCCGCATTGTAATTTAGAACGTCTCGAGCTGCATGTTTTGCATCTACATGGGGCTGGAATGAGCAGCTCTGTGTTGAGGGATCTATTGCCATCAGTGAAAACACTGGCCAAATTTATTATGCAGATCTAGGCTCAGCCGAGGTCCGAAACCTGATCCTCTGTCACCGCAGCTTTTAGAACCACTGTGGGAATGGAGACAATGGGGAAAACCC